GCTTAATCTTAAAGAATGACTTGTGACTATTTCCTTGTGTAGAAATGCAAATCAACCTACCCTGGAAGCAAGCAGTAGAGCTATTTCTTTATATGATCAAGCACTGATGTGTTGCAGAAGACAGAGCCAAGAGCTGTCGTGCATCTCCCTCACTCTCCACCCACACTGTCCCCGTTTCCAAGAGGGCCAGACGTTTACTCAACTAATCTTAAAGAATGACTTGTGACTATTTCCTTGTGTAGAAATGCAAATCAACCTACCCTGGAAGCAAGCAGTAGAGCTATTTCTTTATATGATCAAGCACTGATGTGTTGCAGAAGACAGAGCCAAGAGCTGTCGTGCATCTCCCTCACTCTCCACCCACACTGTCCCCGTTTCCAAGAGGGCCAGACGTTTACTCAACTTTGTTCACCACTGCTCACTCCGAATTCTGTTCATATATGGCCGTATAAAGAAGTTGCCCCCTGTACTCACATAGGTCTGAAACAGGAAGTGACCCAGCTTTACAGCTGTACTCATTTAGTGATCTGATTACTGCATCAGCATGGAGCTGGTTTTTTTTTTCCTGCTTACCCGCCAAAAGTATTTTCTGTTTGCATTCTTGGGAACTGTATCGTTGGTGTAGAGCTCTCCTACCAGGGGTCCAAAACGTGTTCCTTTTGGGATGTACTCTTTACTTACAACTCCAATAACCTGCAAGGAGGAGAGCACAGGATCAGCCCATCTTCAATAGAAAACAAAAATCACTCTTGTTCTTACTAAAAACCCCAAGCTCAACATATTTTCATGCGAGATCAGCAAAGCAGAAATAAACTTAACAGCTACATTGACAGCTGATATGAAAAACTCTGTCAGCTTACAGTATCTTGCTGAAAAATATGGAGTTCAGGTGTGAATAAAGCTTTTATGTGCATAAATACATGAAAAACAGCCTTATGGAAATTTGTATTTGTGAGCAGAAACAGCAAGAATCACTGAATTTTTTTTTCTCTTAAACAAGAGGGTCAGGTGTTTCAGAGTGAACAAACGATCAGCCAGTCAAAGAGTTCTAACCTACTGATAACCAATCACTCAGAGATGTAGCTTTTCTCAACAAAGGTGAATGTCAAAATTCTAGTCTCAGAAATTAATAATATTCAGTAATAAGCGCTTGAATGTTCTGAAGCCACCTCTCGTAGTTTTCTAGTAAAATGGATCCAGTGCAGTCTCTATGTTTTTAGATAAAAATGAAACCCTTTTGTTGCTCTTGTACCTTGCTGAATGACAAGAGAACATCCAAAACATACAACTCTTCCATTACCATACAATGAAAAGCAACAAACAATACAAACTGACTATGGGAAAGTGTACTCACAGATTACTGTCTTTAAAAGAGACAGAGGTTCCTGTAATATGTGTTACGTGGGTCTGGTCAAGGAAGTGTAGGGTTTTGGTGAAAATGCTCTGCTGTACCAAGTTTAAGATACATACACACTAGCTTTTCAGCTTCCTCTTTGACAGTAATTATGCTAAAAAAGTCACTGACCACAAATCAGGAAGCAATTCATCATTATTCAGAAGAACGTGCCTTTGAGTAACCCTTTACAACATGCAGCTGAGTTCTTCATTCTGTCCTGCTCTGTTCTCTGCCATACCACTGAATTTTTGTATGTTTAAACAATGTGCTATAGGCAGAGTAATTCTGTAAACCAAAAATCAGGACTTTGCAAGACTGCTTAAGAAGCAGGGAGGGGAAATAAGCAGGCTGTTGGTTTGATAACCTCACAAAATTTTCACAGTTAAGCCAATTAAACATATTCGGCTACATCTAGACTGGCATGATTTTCTGCAAATGCTTTTAACGGAAAAGTTCTGTGTTAAAAGCATTTGCGGAAAAGAGTGTCTAGATTGGCACGGACGCTTTTCTGCAAAAGCACTTTTTGCGTAAATGCGTCCGTGCCAATCTAGACGCACTTTTGCGCAAAAAAGCCCCGATCGCCATTTTCGCGATCGAGGCTTTTTTGCGCAAAACAAATCTGAGCTGTCTATACCGGCCTTTTGCGCAAAAGCTTTTGTGCAAAAGGACTTTTGCCTGAATGGGAGCAGCATAGTATTTCCGCAAGAAGCACTGATTTCTTACATGAGATCGTCAGTGTTCTTGCGGAAATTCAAGCGGCCAGTGTAGACAACTGGCAAGTTTTTCCGCAAAAGCACTTGCTTTTGCGGAAAAACTTGCCAGTCTAGACACAGCCATTCCTCTTATACACCTTAGTAAGGTGATACTTCTCTGTATGCCAACTGAACTATGAAACCATAGAACTACAGCAGAGCCTTGCTGATTTTGCACTAATAACTGGAATCCCATTGTGGATTCCTGAATTCTGCAGATTCATAAATAAACGAGCATAATTAACTAAATAAATTAAGGATTATCACAATTATGTACTTTATTCATATGAGTAAGCATTTAGGGTTACTTGGAGTACTTCATAGTGCTCTAGCAAATATTCTACATTGTACATGGTATTTTGTAAAAGTAACTATGCCTTGTAACATGAGACTCAACCACAGGTTCTGCTCTTAAATCTTTGTTGGAAAATGGAGCTATGATTATTTTATTTGTGTCTGTGTGTGTGTCAGAGACAGAGCATTATTGGTTTGCATATTAGTGCAATGAGAATTAGTAAGATTTTGTTGCACATTGTCTATGGATAAAAATTCCAAAGACCATTCATTTGACTGGAAATGCAGACAAATAACTGACTCTTAGCAAAGTTTTATTTGAAATGGGAAACAGAAATGAACAAGAAATACTGAGGAATCAAGCACATAGTCTAATGGGAAGTAAATTAGTGTCTATGCAGAGAATGGAAATACTGTCTTAAAAATTTCTTGCGTGCACGCGTGCTCACACACACACACACACACCAGCATTGATTTGTGCATCTGAACACAGAGAAAGAGAGAAAAAGGGACTTCCAGAAATTTTCCTACACTTACCACAAGTTGAAACATGTTCAGTGGCTCAGTTTTATTTTTATCCTGCTTATACATTTCTCATAGAGAGATGAAAAAGGCAGATGTTCTTTTCTCATCGTCCCCATCTACCTTCATTTACATCCATCTGCCCTTTCAAGAAAAGTTCAAAGCTAATGTGTAAAGCATCCTAGCAGTTTAACTGTAGAGTACATTTTAGCTCTTCCACAGTTTTAAAATGTCTTGATCTTAATTAAAATATCTAATGACATTCTCAGAATGTCTAGAAATCGCTACTCCTTGAACTAGTCAACTTGAAACATTCTCTATACTGGCTTCTCTGACACAGCAGATACTTTTTTGATCTGTACTATCTAGAGTTTGACTCTGTCCTAATATATAAAATATTAATTTGGTTTATCATCAGATAATTCCACATACACACATTTTTTTTAAACTCTCAGACTAAAGCTGTTCACCTGGTTTTTGATTGCTATGGTTTCTGATCAGAATGCATAGTGTAAACTCTGTCTCCAAAGGGCTCAAATGCTACATGTTCATAACAGTCAACTCAGAATCACAAGCAAGATCTTATGCCAGACAGGAGGCTGGTCCTGTGCCATAATCAAGATCAAAAAGACTCTTGCCAAGCCCAAGTGTGGTGGGATTTAGTTACTGTACTTTGTTGTTAATCAAGGTTGCCAAGGACTGTAAACAAATCAGAAAAAATGCTTTAGATCACAAGTAGAAAGGAAGTTGAGCCTTAGTTGTGAAAAGCAGAGACAGAGCAAAACATTTCAAACTTCCGTCCACAAGGTGTCCTTAAGTGTGCTCCTCTGACACTGTGAGGATTCTGGAACATCAGTCTGATGAGCTCTCCTCTCCCAAATAAACTACTAATAAAAATGTTACTTTTAAAAAAAATTTATGGGTCTAAAATTTAGAACTTTGCAACAGAACAAAAATCTGTTTCCAAAATAAGCTTTTGGCATATTTTTTCCTCTCTTTTAAAGCTATAGCCACTTCAAATCTCTTATTACTACCACAACACTTATCATTAATTCCATTATCAGAAAAACAATACTTCTACAATAAAAAGTTTATCATGTTAGACTCATGATTTGAAATTACTTCTATGTGATCGCTATAGGCCATGCTCCTTCAATATGAAAGTGAATTAAGACACTTTCTCTCCACTTTGGGTGCGAAAGGATGAATACAATGCTTGTGTGCTAAGATAACCAGGTGCCAACATTTAGAAGAGACAACAGCTGCCTCCTTGCAAACAAGAAGCTACCGCATCTTTGATGGTCCTGTCCAATATTATCTGCAAAGAAAGCTCTGCTGTATTTTGATTGGTACTTTATATGTAAATGTTAAAGCATTGCTTTTTTATACTCTGCTTGAACTCACATTTGTTCCAAAAGCCATTTAAATGACAGTGTTCACCTAACCCAGGAAGGAAACACCCTTGGAACTGACCAGGGTCCTAATGAATTACTGCTGGGGCAGGCTGCTGTATGCCTTCTATAAACACATCAGTGAGAAGTTGAAAAGCTTCAACACTTTCATGCTTCATCTATCCCCACAGAAGCCATTCCACTAGATACTTTATGGACAACACCGACCTCCCTGCCATTTCAGCATATCCATCTTTGTCAGCGGACTGGGTCACAGAGCACATCCTGACAAGTTATGGCTCCCAGACAAAAAACAGTAGTCCTTAGATTCCCAGTTTGATATTTTACAAAAATTGAGGTGCATGTACATTCCTTTATTTGAGGTGGTAACAGTGAGCTAATCAATAACACATATTAGTTGTGAGAAAAGGGGATGCTCTTTACTAAATCTGATAAACTATATGGTTTCTTCACCCCAGATTTAATTTATGACAGTATATTTTCATAATATTTCTCAGTGTAAATCCAGAATAGTGGTTCAGTGCATTTTGTTTTGTTTTGAAATGAGCACACATTTTTTATTAATTTAAGGGGAAGAAAACTACAGCTGAACCAAGACCTGCAGTTTGCTATTATTTTTTTTAAGTTGTGAAGTCAGAAGAAATGCTTTCACCTTATATCTTCCTTAATTATCTAACACAGAAATAAAACACTGCTTCGGTGAATTAGTTGGAAAAAGGAAAGTTCAGGAGGTTAGCGAGGAATATATTTAAAGCTGTTGATAATGGACATAGTCAAAACAGCTCAAAATCAAGTACTAATCCCTTTGAAGAGTAACCCTTATTATAGAAAGTACTGCATTGAGGATCTTATGCTACAGGTAAAGAATTCTGAGAACACCTCATAATATATCTTTTCCCAGATTCAGTAAAAACAGCAGGATAAATGTTATGTTGATGGTCCCAAACATCTGATATTTTATACTAAGAATAGCTCGGTGATGTAGGGTTAGGAGGATTGAGGCAGAAGGAAATTTCCTGATTTTTTTAAACTTGTCATCTTAAAAAAGATGTAATATTGCAAAGTATGATATTATCATTTTGTCCTTCATACATTTTCATTAATTGCGAAAGTGGAGAAAACAGCCGCCACGTGAAATATACAGCCCTCTCCATGTCTAATAATTCCAAATATTAAGAGCAGAAGCAATTCATTTTTAAAAGATACTGACATATCTTTCATAGTGAAAAATGTGCCCTTAAAAAAATCCCTGGGGAAGGTCCAAGAATAAACAAAAGCATGTTGTGTCATAGAATTTCTCACCATTTCAATAAAAGTCTTTAAGGAGGAGTTACTGAATTAGCAGAGCTATAAGATGCATGAAAAGAAAAAAATAACTCGCAAAACACAAACACCTTCCTATCAAACAAACTAACCAAACAACCCAAATAAACAAGCAACAGTCCGCCCAAGTCTGCACATACAATGCAGTAGTATGCCTAGTCCCTTTGGACATGGGTTACAAAAATACAGATTTAATCATGTGAGTTTCAGTATTTCACAAACTCTGTTTTTGTCTATAAATTGGCTTAGTGCTCACATCATTCCTTAAAATAAAGATCCAATCATTTCCCAAAATTAACAGTGAAGACAACTCAGTTGCAAAAGCCATAGCTCCATGTTCACATGCACACACACGTACACACAGAGAGTCCAATTTTATCTCCCTGCTTAATAAATTTGGAATATCTAGAGCCACATTTATAAAGGTACACTGTACTGTGAGGAAAGTGACCAAAGCAATTTTCAACTATGTTGACAAGTGACTAGTGGATCACAAGCCTAAAAATGTAGTGCTGTAGCTTTAATATATGGGGCTAATCAGATTGACTCTTTCGCTCACAACCGCGGAATATAGTGAGAGAAATCAAAAGTTCCTTTTGTTTCTTACTCTGTAAGTGCTGCTCTGCAGAAGCCAAGCAGAATGGGAAACTTTTTATTTAAAAAAAAAAGTTCTGTATTGAGACTCCTTTTAGTAAAGGATCCCAAATGGACATTTTAGAAGAAGGTATTGGAAAAAATTTTCAACAACTTTTAAAAATATTAAAAATCATAATGATCTCAGACTGATTAAATAAGCTGAACTATGCTGTAAGAAAATTACTCTTGACTCCTACATGTTGGTTTTCTCTTACATATCACAAGGAATTGAAAACATTTCTCAGACTTCTTGTGTTGTGGCAGTCACACTAAGTTGAGGGAGGAGAATAAAGAATTTGAGTGGCCAAACAGTTATTATTTAGTTGTCTAGTATATTAGAAGCTGTCTTACTGCATATTCATGTCAGCAACACAGAGTGAATATGGAAATGCGTTCATCACAGAGTTATAGCATCAGCTCCCAAACCACAGTAATATTTAAAAAATCCCACAAACAAGGAGCAATTTTAGTTTTTTGCCTTTCAAGTTTTTTTAAGCTTCATTTTCCCCCTCAGATTTCTAAAGGATAATCTTTCTCCCTCTCTCTTGATGATTATCCTTGACCAGCTCCCAAACAACAATGCATTCTAGTCAGAACTGTAAGGCCGAATTCTGCTGCATCAGTTTACTTCAGCTGAAGATCTGGCCCTATTTCTGTACACAGGATTAAACCAGCGAATGGATTTCCATGGTACTTGTTTTGGTAGGACACTTTTGATAGTCAGGCAAGAATGAATTCATATCCCTTTTCAGTTCCGTGGTCAGTATATTTAGCCATAGTAGCAACACAGGTATTAGCTGCTCTACCACAAGTTGCAGGACAAGGAGAAATTAAGGGCTGTCCCTAGGATTATTACCCTGTTGAACATCACACCTAGCTATAATAGCTAGTGTATATGGAGTAAACACATGACCAATTGCTCACCTGGGATCTTCTCCCCCTTCCCCCCTGTCCTTCTGAAACAACAACAAAGAATGTACCCACTCCAGAGATAGGGATACTTGCATGTCTATCTACAAGTAAAGGTATTGCCCCAGATAAACAATAGTTTAAGGCATATTGATATGGGAAGCACTTCTTTGTGACTCTTGCAATAGTGCTCCCATCACTTCATTAATAGGCAGGGCAGAGTTTTGAGAATTTAGGAAGTTGCAAATAAAGCAAGATCATTAAAAGAATAAAGTAATTTCATACAAAAGAAAAAAAAACGATTAAACAAATTTCCAGGAATTATATATTTTTTTCTTTTCAAAGCTATTGTACAACTCAGGCACTTTAATCTCTGGGCCAGAGGCAGGGAATAGTCTGACTAACAGCAGTCTAGAAACTGGCACCCGGGACGACCTCCACTTTAAACATGCTTATGCAGTTGCCTAAAGATTTAACTGTTTGCTAATGGGTACAGAACTAATTTTAGGGACGTGTGACTTAGCCATGGAAGTGTTAAGTGATCGATTATGTGTGTACGATCCCTTAAAGAATTAAAAAGATTTGTCTAATATGCCAGTGGCATTTTTTAAGGTGTTAGAGCGGAAGTGTAAGGAGGGAGTCACTCTCCAGAGCACTGTGATTTGGCTGTCAGATTCTAACCTTCCTTGGCAGAAGCCTGCTTACCTCTTTGCAGTTGGATGCATATTTGAAAGTCAAGTTCCTTGGCAAGGATGCCTCTGCCTGAGTTGTGGTGCCTCCATCAGCGTTGGAGTCCCAGGGGTGATCGTTGACAATGTACGTGCACTTCTCTTCAAAATCAGTCTCTGTCCACAGAGTCATGTCAGCATCCTCCATGTCCATTTTCATTGCCCACTCTGTCCCTTTCACCGGCGTTTAGAAAGTCACAACGTTTGAGCTACACTGTGTGGCAGCCTGGAAAAGAAGAAAAAAAACCCCTTTAATCCTCATTGTCCTTCAGTTCCTGTGGTTTCCTTTGAGACAGTGTGACTAATACAGCTGTCTGTGGCACTTTAAAAGCCTATGTAGGATAGTTGGTACAGTTGAGTAATAGCCAAAAAACAAATCAGTATAAAACGAAGTTGCCTTTACTGAAGCAATGTCTTAAAATGCCAACATTCGTAATAATAATAATAATAATAATAATTAATAATGAGATCAAAAGAATAGAGGAAAATCCCTAAGATAGCTATCTGCATCGCTTTTCACAGATCCTTTTCTTAATACCTCACAGCAGAAGTTCTGCAACGCCAATACTGTGCCCAAGAAAATCTGGGGTCATGGCTGTGAGACCACTCAGTGGCTGTGGAAAAGCTGCCTTGGAAAAAGTGTCACAAACAAGGAGAGGAAGAGGAAGGAGCTGCTGTCTGCGTCTGTG